CAGGCTGAAAAACACATACAATTAATGCATAGAGGAATAGAATAGCATAGGATTTGTATAGCTCTTAACGAGTGGTTGAAAAAATAATTATGGGTTTGTTTTGGGGTTATTATCGAAATTATTATTATTTCATTATTGCAACGGTTGAAAATTAAATAAAATTTATTTGTCTTACCACCAATAAAACATTTTATTAATGGCTATATTTTTAAAGCTATATATATATATATATATATATATATATATATATATATTTGTGATTTATGCATAAAACTAGTCTTAAATACAAAAAAATAAACTGATGCATCTTAATTTTTATTATGTATATAATCCTCCAATAGGGGAATTTGCAAATTTCTCTTAAAATTGTTGTCTACATTTTAGGTCAAAGTTTGTTAAATTTTAATTTTCATATAAGGTTGAAATAATGAATTGTATAAGTTAACGACTTCAACGATAATTTTAGTGCAGGCTTTTAACAATTTAAGGGGTTGGTTCTAGGCTAATTAAGCATGTTAAAATTGCTAACATCAACCCTATAATATTTCATGCTCTATGCTATGAGGTCTATTTTCAACATTTTTATGGAAAATGTACGATATATATAATAATATTTGTCTAGTCAACTTGAAAATGGTTCGAATTCTCACCTCCACATGTTGTTTAACTTTATAAAAGAAAAAGAAGAAAAATAATATCTGCTTTAGTGGGTCATTCCTCGTATAATATATTATGATCCATATTTTCTCAATTATTTTTTTAGATTTGTAGTACATCCTACCCTTGTTGAACTAAAAATTGATTTTTATCTTATTTGTCATGTAATAATTTGAAAAAAAAAAGTTTATATATATAAAAATGGAAAATCATTGATTCATTTCCTCGTTTTGTTTGGGCCAAAATTTGGTTTTTGTAAGTGTAACATATATTTGGGATTTCTTTTTTTCTTTTCTTTTCAAAAAAGGAATTTTCTAATTAGGATTTTACTTCCAAACCCCTAGGACCAACTAGGCCTTCATTGTTTTGTTTTCTTAATTATTTTGGAAATTTTCCTTTAAGCTTTTGATGGGTCTTGTTTAAGTATGAGAAGAAAGCCTAGATC